AAAATAAAGTCTACATTACAAGATTAAATGACTGCTGAAGAGTACTTTGTGCCTTATGGAAAACAAGTCTAAGCTTGTCTGCAGTGTCCTGTGACTAGAGCGTGGGGGACACACCTACATTTGAGTACAGCATCCTGGAAAAAATCTGGGATTCTACATCTTGTTAACTATCAATGGAATTTGGTACCTAAATTTGGAGTTTGTGTCATTTACACACTTCTGATGATTTCTATTCCCTCTGAGTGAAGTAAACTCAGCAGGCTAGGGACTGTATTACATATTTATCTCTTTAGCTGATTCCAAAACACAAACAATAGCTCTCCATCCATTTCTAGAACACAAAGAGATCTCTATGGCAATCGACAAATGAAAGAAAGCCACCATGCCTGAGCTCAGATACAGACCAGAAAGGGACAAGGGCTGTAGGAAAGCTGTTAATCAAACTTTGCTTCTACTATTAATAGGCTGGTGGAGGGCATCATTATCAAAAGGAAACGTGCATTAGTTCCAGCAAGCTGTTTCTTGTACTTGCCCAGTTAACAGGGAAGTTATTTGAGTACGTCAGATTAAGATTAGTATTATTTGCTGTCACGGGGAGTCCTTGAAAGCAACCTATGAGCTTAACAAAACATGGTATATGAAAGCATTCAGAGCACAGCTTTTACTGTTCCCATGCCTTTGAACAGCACTTAGTGACCTTGACTGTTCTGAGCAGGGACACAGGAGGGCTGTATTAAGAAGGAATTATTAAAGTTTTATTTTTTTATTATTTTTTTGTGGTATTGGGTATCAAGATAGACACGAGAAATCCATCTGTCTAGATGAAGCTGACCCAGAAAGGGTGCTTCAGCAAGTTCAGATCCATAGAAAAGGACACAGCAAAAAGTTTCTTGCTTCTTTATCAATCTTAATAAAAAAAACTAGGTGGTCTTTGTCAGTGTTTGGAACAGATGCCTCAAAAAAAACTTCTGTAACTGCTGTTAGCTCAGAGCTAGACACACTGTTCTTCTATGCTCCCATCACACATCCATTCACTCATGAAAACTCATGAAAACAGCCCTAACACTGAGACCACAAAAAGCTTGACAAGGAGAACTTTGCAAATGCTTATGCGGTGCTCAGGACTTTGCTGACCAGAAACCTGTCAGTTGTGTGGCTTCCTACAGAGCACAGGCCATAATCTTTCAACCAGAAACTCCTGGGTCAAACTCGGAAACTTGTGGCAGCTTTCTGCTAAACTGGCATATGCTGCAATGTTCCCAGCTCACATCAGCTTCTGAAAGAAGGTGCAAAACTAACATATCACTGGATGAGATCTCAAACAGAAATCTTGCAGTTTGGTACTTTACTGACTGCTAACAAGAGCAATTTCAGCAATTGCTTCTCTCATTGACACCAGATTAACAAAAAACCCTCCCTGTCCACCTCTGGATTTTAAGGCCAGTGTGACTTTGCCCAGATCTGTATGAGTTCCAGGGCGGAAGGCAAGGAGGGTGCCAGCACTTGGGATTGTATTGAAGCTCAGCTGCAACTTGAACTAGGGTACAGTCTTTCTGGCACCTCCAAGTGCTACCGGATCCACTTTACAAAGGAAAGCTGGAGGACAGTTTAATGACTTCCTCAAGCTGTAGCCAGATTGCTCACAGTTCTCTGCTGACAAGGAAACATACTCCTTGGAACTAGGGCTTCAGCTTACCGATGGCTTTTTCCACAAAATCTGCAAGAACTGACCTCTTTGAAAGAGTCTTAGTTCAAAGAGGTGGTGCAGTTTTTGCCCTTGGAGGTTTTAAGGATCTAACTAAGTAATCCTGAGTAACCTGGTCTAACCTCACTGCCTATCCTACTTTGAGCAAGAGATGGGACTACAGATTTCACAAGATTAATTCCAACCTGAACTATCCTATGATCCTGTGAAAATGTGGAAGACTTGTGGATAAACAGTCTTCTATTTTTTTTCTCCTATGGAATAAGAGATGAGATTTTTTCCAAAACTTAAAGAAAAATTTCTATTTCCCCTGTGTCCTGTTCAGATACATTGGTACAGACTAAACAGTATTTGGCTGACCCAAATCATGGATCCGTGTTTCAACCTTGAGACCGCAGCCAAGTTCTCTGTTTCATTTTAAGTGTTGACATAGTGGTTTTGCTCAGTCTGTTAAAGCCTGGTGGCCTGCAACTTTGTGGGAGAGGGGGGAAGAAGGGGAGAAAGAGGAGAGAGTTCAATGACATCTATTGGTGAAAAGAGAGAACTCACCTAACAGGTCCCTGAGTAAGACTTGCCAGAGGAAACAGCCTTCCATGAGAATCTGTTGAGGAGCACAAAAAATACCTGGAAAGCACTGGGCTTAAGTTCTCATGTGTATTTTCTACCATTTCAGGCTCTTTGTTAAAGCAGATGTTTTCAACTGGAGATGGGTCTAATAGCCATTTTCACATACAGGAGAATGCAAATTTCAGTATAGAGTGGCAGCCTACAAAATTGTGGTAAAGCTGCACATGGAGCACAGAGATGCTTACTTGGAAGCCTTTCTAGTGCATTACAAAGGCCGTACAGGTTGTGTAAGACGCTTGCTCAAATTCTTGCACAAAATCATGGAACCACAGAATAATTTAGATACAAAAGGACCTCTAGAGGTCATCTACTTCTATTTGCAAAGTTGAATACCTCCAAAGATGACATCCCACAGTGTTTCTGGACAGCTTCCTCCAATGTTTGACTACCTTGTTTATAAAGATTTTCTTTCTTATATCTAGCTGAAATTTCTCATGCTGTGACTTGTGTTTGTTGTCTCTTGTCCTTCCTCTCCTCCTTGTGTGTCATATGATCCAGCCCCTAGCATGTCTTAGTAGACTCACTCCAACTTGTCAATATCCTTCCTGTGCTAGAGACTCAGAACTGGGCACAGAACACCAGGCATGGCCACACAAGAAATGCCACAAAAAGGAAGATAACCACCTCCCTTGATCTGATGGATGAGATCCTGCTAATACAGCTCAGTCTGCAGTTGGTCTTTAGTATCACCAAACACAGGGCTGCCAGAGATGAAAGTAGCCAAGCAGCATGTATGAGTTGATAACAGAAAAGAATCAAAGGGATTCCCCCCACCATGTTTCTTTGGGATTCTTACTGGCACTCCTGCCTGCCCAACCACTGCCTTGGAAACAGCCAAGAACAGTGAAGGACTCAAGCCAGTTTACACTAAGGTTTGAAATGTATTTTATAGTACTGGTTCTTTTATTCTCTCAACGTCCAGGCTTTCTTAAGAGATGGACAAGCAAAGACATTAGCTGGCAGATGGACTGACAGAGCACACAGCATCCATGTCTGGAGAGAAAATTGAATAATGGAGGACATGGACAGATGCAGCATCTGCTTTTTAAGTAAAAAAGTAAAAAAATCTCCTATACTTACTTTTTTTGTGCAATATCTGGACTGACTTAGCTCATGGCTGAAGTACTGTAAAATCACAGTGTGAAAACTGGGAAATGTCAGCTGTGCTGCTGAGAAAACCTACCCTGAATCAAAATTTAGACACTCTGCCTCAAATAGCAATTTCCATTGTAATTGCCCTCCCTACACCAAGTTTCTCTAGCATGATATTACTTCTTTCTTCTCCTAGAGCATAATACAAGTTCATTCCCTTGCTTTCCACTTTGGAAACCAATGAAGTGTTATTAAAAATGACCATATTTATTCCTTCTTCAGGTAGAGTTTCTGTCACTTGTGTTTGTAGTAAGTCATGTTTTGCCCTATGACTAGTCCTGTTTATTTCTGGGATGACAGAAGTGGCAAATTTTGGCCCATAATATCTGTGTGTATCAGAAAGAGAGAGCAGAAAAGAGACAGTGAGGAGTGATTAGAGTACCATGTATTCTCAGTAACCACCCACATACGCCTGCACCCCCACAGAAAAGAAGTATCACTCTACAAAAAGTTATTAATTGTATTTTAAAGATCTACAGGTTTTGTAAGATCTGGCTACAGAATTGGCCTCATTATAGGCACTCAAATCCAGTTATATTTTTTAAAAAATCTACTAAAAAGCCCAATAAAGGCTATGATGGGGTCTAGGATGCCCTCACGTTTCTTTTCTACACTGCCTGCTTTTATTGCAATTCATGAATATTGGCATCAAGTTCCCATACACTAATTTCCAAACTATATCCTCCTCTTACAAGCTGGCCAGCCCTTCAGCAGTTTACAGTGAGCACTCTGTAACACACAGTACCGGCCCAGAAAACCACAATGACCTGAGCAAGGTTTAAAGAAGAAAAAAACAAAGGACAAACAAAAAACCTTCCCAAACCTACTCGGAAGTAGAGATGAAGCACAGAGGAGTTTCAAGCAGTTGGATATTCATGAAGCAGACATATTAGTGAAGCTTCTGACAGACAAAGATTTTTCCAGTCACAATAAGTCCAGGCCAGCCTAACCCTTCTTCTACAGCAATGTTCACTGTCCTCACTGAGTTTGGGCCCTTTCTGGGGGGAGCCAACCCCAGAAACCAAAGGACAGCTATGACATTGCACTTAGGATAACCAGACCTCTCCTGGTTGCTTTCCAAAACTACATCAAAACATGCAATAAGCGAAAACATAACATATATAGATGTACACACACACACACTGAGGCACAGACAGACTTGAATATCACAGTGGTGGACTGTCCATCCTATAGAGACTTGGCAGAAACTTACAAACAAAACAAAAAATACCTGAGAGTAAAAACACCATGGATCATTAAGACTAAAACTCATTGCAGGTAGTTTGGTGCTGAGGGCCAGCTCAGGTATCACGAGTTCACACCCGACCTCCTTGAACAGCATGACTAGATTGTCACCAGCCCAAAACTCCTGCTTGGTCCCAAAAATCCTGCAGACTGGGGATCACTATGCAGAGTCCACATCTGCCCAGTTTCCAGTTCCTGTCTCTGCTCTGCATGGTGTATGGCAAGAGTTTCACTCAAAGCAGGGCACTCGACCAAGTTTGCAGGACCTTACCTACAGCACAGCATGGGATGGCCTGTTGCATAAGCACATGCTGTGCCACACAAGCTGCAGTATCAAGAGCTGTGTCAACCATGTAATACAGACCAAGCTGAGATGGAAAAGTGAAGAGGAACCTATCTCATCTTCTCCTTCAGAAGAGTTGTGAAACCTACTTCCAAACTGCCAACTTTTCGCCTCTGCGTATCAAGATGACCCTCTACTTCCTACACAGCTACCCAACTTGATACAGCTGCTCTCCTTTGCTCTCATTCTGAAGCACCAGATTACCTGTCAGCAGTAAATGAAGAACAGTCACATTTTGCAGCCCATCACTCTGGTCAGGGCAGCAGACAGAAGCTTCTGAGCATGCAAGGAAAGATAACTTCCAAGTATGAGACTTTCTTTCCCTTTTCTCTGTCTGACACAGTTACAATAACATTTGCTACTGGCAGACCCCTAGAGCTTGGCTCCAGCACTACCAAGCAAGAGGGCTGAAGAAAGTTACAGGACCTCTTCAGTTGAATTATTTTCTCACTAGTGAAACACAGTGTGCCCTCAATAGCACTAGTTATCAGAGTGAGATGACATTCACCATGAAAGCTGCACAGCCCAGAAAATCCAATACAAACTGGTTTACAGGGGCACAAACAACACCCTAACAGGAGAACATCTTCCCACCGGCTTTTCCCCTGTCAGCAGGTGAAGTGGAAGCCACTGCCACCAAAACGTCTGAGCCATCCAGCTGGAACTTTCTGCTGCCACATCATTGCCATGGTACAGCAACATTCTTCCTCTCAGCTGGAAGCTCCTGGGTAAACTTCCATTATAGACCCAGGCTGCCCACGCTGGTACTCTGTCCCAGCCTCTGTCTTGAACGATAAAATACCTAATGATGCTGATGACTGAATTATCATTGGAATACAAGACAAATGGCTTGGGTCTCCCTCTGCAGAACTATTGCTCCAGGCTCTCTGGAGTCTCAAGGAGGCATTAACACCAGCACACATCCTCTGCACGCTGTGCCCTGCTTACACCAGGATGTTCTGCATCAAGATAAATCGGTCTCACCACCTACTCTGCTGCAAGTACTCACTCTCCCTGGCACTTAAAGAGGGAGTCGCTGAGTCCAGCAGAGCCTCCCTCCAGGAGGTGTGTCACTGTAGGAAGGAAAGCCAGTCTAGCTATTGCTCTTAGAATGAATGAGGAAAGATGGCTGTTCTTGCTATTTATTTCATCGAAAGAGCCTCTCCCCCAGCAGCGCTGATTCCAGGGATATCTAAGTAGAATCAAGGTGAGTTAAACAGTATTACTGAACCAACACATATATGCATTCCTCTCCCTTTCACCAACTTAACCTCTTCAAGGTCAGCAATTAGCACGTCTAATGAGAGATGCAACAAGGAAACGATTTCAAGTTGCGTGCATCATGTACTGACTCACTGCCATGAAGCTCTACACTTGAACAGAATTCCTGGTGAACGACAATGAAATATTCATCAGCTCATATTTGTAAATGGCCCAGCAACATACTGAGTAAATGACCTCTGACGAAGTGCCTTGCATTAAAATGGAACAGCAGCCAGTAGAAGTGAGGGAGCTAGAAATTACGCATGTTTTGTCAGCACAGAGAAGCAGCAAACACAAACAGAAAGATATCTAGCTGGACTCATCATCCTGACAGTGAGAAGCAAATGAGGAGCCAGCCTGTTCACTTCAGGGGGACCCACTGGCTATGTTGTCTGTGATGGGAGCGAGTGGGGCAGCCTGGGCTGTTTTACTCACTGCCTTCTGTCGCAATCAGAAAATGACCCAGGCAAGGCAGGAGGGTGAGCTGTTTCGTTCCCCCCCCCACGTTAGCTCTGGTTGTTCTCACTAGTCACCCCCATCCCCTGCACCTAAGCTGCAAAGCACCACACCACTTGCCCTTAACTGGGGGGCTTGGTCCCTGAGGTGGCAAACACAAGCCTGTGCCTTCCAGAGCAAATGGGGAGCCCTGCCCTCACAACAGGCATCTGATGCTGGGTGGGAGAATCCCCACAGTGTGTATCTCTTTGCCTTGCCGGCATGTTTTGATGTGAGTCCCTGCAAAGAGGGAGCCAGGTTTGCAAGGGGGACAGGCTGTTGGGATGGGTATAACCCAGTGCTGCTGTAGGGAGCAGAAGGGTGGATTTTCTGTCCTGCTTTCAGCTCTCATCATTATTCAGGACGCGTGATTTCCAGGGAGGTTGCCAGCGCTGCGCTGCACTGCACCGCTTGTGATGGTTAATCCTCGTACGGGAAAGCTCCACAATGGAAATTGTGAGGAGAATACAAAATAAATGAGGAAAACCTAGCGAGCTGTCGTCAGCCTCCAAAAAAGCACAGAGGAACCCAGGCCTGGCCTCCCCCAGACCTTTTCCAAGGCACTCCCTTGAAATCGAGCTTAACACTCCCACCTCTTATTGCTCCGGGGCCCCACAGAGAGGTGAGCTCCCACCGCCAGAGCCAGGTGGGCGATGCAGACCTTCTTTTATCGTTTATTTATTAATTAAACGCCCTGTGATAAGGCAGATCTACGTGCAGATCCACAGCTCTGCAGGCTAGGGGGGTGCCCACCGCAGCCCGGAACTTGAACAAACAGCACCCTCAGGTGGCTCGCCTAGAAATGAATGTGCGGAGTCACCCAGGACAGCTCCAGCCGGACCCAGCCATCCTTTTGCTCTCCTCTTCCAACCGTATAAGCAGGGTGGGCCCACAGCCCCTCCTGGGAAAATCCGAGCCCAAAACCGTGAAAGAAATCTTCAATGGCAGCGAGGCACATCCAGGAAAAGCCTAAAGGGAAAACTTCCAATGTGCTTCTTCCCCCCTGCTATGCAAGTCTTCAGTGTCTTGTCCATATATGTATCAGCTTTAACCAGGTAGTTTAACTGACTTGTTAACAGGCTACCTGCTCTGGTATCCAGAGAGCCTGTGTAAGCAGAGTACAAGTCTTCCTTCCCTCCCTCAGCACCTTCAAATTTCGGGGGCACTGGCAAATTGATATTCTTGCCTTGAAAACTATTCCCTGTGTACAAACCCCCTTTCAGCCATTGCTGGCATCCATCTCTTCCTGCCTGTATAGGGAAGAGGAGGGTGCCTTGTTCAGCCTCAAGTAGGTGATATTTCACCAATGGCTGCCTTTGAAATCATTTGGATCCTTCAGCATCTTTGCTGCCTTCTTTTGCTGCTTGCATATTTGGTTAGTGCAAACTAGGAGCAGAAGTATTTCCACTAATGAGACAGAGCCCCTTCCATCCCCTGAGAGTCACATAGCAGATACAGTCCCAACACACAAAGGTAACAGATGAGAACTCAGCTCCCAGACTCCAGACCTCAGGCGTGTCACAACCTCTACACTCAGAAGCCTGCCTGTCACCCTTACCTATTCTCATAAAGACAGGAAAGCACTGGATGAGACAATCAGAAGGAAAATAAAATACAGTTTCATCCACAGTGCTGCAGTGTCTACTATACCCATACATTTGGCATGACTACCAAGGGAGGGACCCGTGGCAGCAGTCTCAATTGCTTTCCTCTCATTATAAAATCCTCATACCTGGATTTTAGACTATTTCCCTTAAGGGTGTTCTCCACTCCAGCGAATAATTAGGTATTTCTACTAGTCTCCTAGCAGACCATTTAAGTAGAAATGCATACAAATAATTATGTTTAGCTGCGTGTTTATGTATATTTATTTGCTTATACATAGATTTTTACTTATGGAAGTTGAATATTTATGTGTCTTATATTTATGTAAGATACAGAAACAAATATGCAAATAAACACATATACAGTCATGTTCACAAATTTAAAGGAAAACTATTCAAATGCATGGGTACTCAGTTCCTTTAGCAAACACCACAGCTCAGAGTTTCTGCCCACAGTTAGATCTGAGAGCACCAACCCCAAAAATCAGGACCTTCCACAGTTATGTCTGTGCTTCTGCATATAAAAGGGTTGATTCACACATCTGATTTCAGGCCTCTCATTTTCAAAACTTTGTGGCCCAAACAAAGTCCTGTGTTTCTAGTTATACCACCCCAAGGGACACTTCTGTACAAGGGGCATCATTCAGTCACCTTGAAGGGATGTTATAGCATTACAAGCTGTTGACAGTCCATCTCAAAAATCTCTGCCTTCTGTAATAAAGTTACCTCCCAATTCCCAGATATGCTCAATGCAATAACATTTCTGAACATCCTGCATAAAGATGATAACAGAGCACCTAACACAAAACTAAAAAAGAAGAGGAAATGAGGTTATATTTCCCATCATGGCATCTGCATTAAGCTCAATAGCTGCTTGTTTCTACTATAATTGTGCCAAAGTCATTTTGAATTTTTCTTTTTTTTTTTATGCACCTTGCTCTGAAGCAGAGATATTTGGGGAAAAACAATGCACAAAACGGCACTTAAATGCACATGGCAACATCTCACCAGTTGCTACTAATGATGTCAGAGGAGGTCATGTGGGCACAGAAGTATGAATTGTCACTACATTTGTACATTTCTGGGGCAAATAAACAGCACCCAGGAGAACCGAAGTCTTCCTAGGACAGTAGGAATACAGAAAACTAAGAAGAAGGAATGTCTTTTTTACTGCCACCTTCATTCTTGTTGATTTCAAGCCCTTCCTCAGCCCTTGCCTTTTATTCTTCTGTAAAAGAAGAGTGCAGTGCTAAGGAAAGTCAGATTGCAGCAGCATTGGTTCATGGGAAAGCCTGCAGAAGACACCTCCAGGCACTTCTGTAAGTACATTTTTTTACCCTGGGCTGTCAGTTGTGCTGCTCTATTCTAAGCATAGAGCCATGGAGCAAGATGCTTGGGGTGGATTTGTTGGCAGATTGGTAGGGACTCATAATATTCCTGCCAAATTCGTTTTCTCATGTGACCTGAGCTTGACTTGGAACATGGATTTCCTACAGAGACAAGTTTGAGCAGTGCCAGGAATTTGAAGACCAGGTGGTCTGCAAAGCTTCTCCCCAGGCTCTGCGATCCTATTTCCTCACGTCATTCTTTCCAGCCAGCACGGAGCTCAGGCTGGGGTGCTCACAGCAAACTGAGTCCTCAAAACCAATGCGATTGCTCCTTCCCACCACCACCAGTCCCCTGGAAGAAACTGCAGCAGAACTGGGAGGAAACATGAGCACGTTTCTGCTAGGAAGCAGATTCAGACAGGCTTTGACCAAGACTGCAAGTGAAACTTTTCTCTGCCAGAGGAAACTCAAAAAAGAATCCTATTTTTTCATCTCAGTAACATCCAAATTGGGCTTAGCTAGTCCAAACTGTCACATCCTTGCTAACTCAGCCTGTATTTGCCTACATGGAAGGGAAAGCGATCATGCAAAACCAGATATATCTATCTGGCTTTTCTGAAGAGAGCTATTGATAGCCACATTGGTCTCATGGGACAAGAAGGTCCATACATTAATTTTAAATCTCTGGCAATCTGCATACTAGAAGTACC